TGATTGTTGATATGCGAAAACGAAAATTTCGTGTGAATCTGATCATCGTATAATTCAAAAATGAACGCACATCATTTTTAATTTTACTTCGAATAGAATAAGATTCCCATGAAAGAGCATCGGATAGAATGTGATCGATCACAGTGTTGTTAAACAAGGGGAGTTGGTCTTATTTTCCACGTTATGTTTAGCTGATTCATATACTTAGGCTCTGCTATTAAAGCAACGCCTCTCATAAATCATTGACGTAGAGATACTTCTCTGATCCATTCTTAAGAACAAGTTGTTTCATCCCCAACAAATAAAAAAGATGCCTAAATTATGTTTGCATAAGGGCCCTGTTTTTAAATGCACTTCCAGCTTCTTTTCCCACTGAAATGCAAGATGTTAAGAAGGTGATATTAGCTCTGGCCATTTTTCGAATAATGGGCCTGTTGTTTGAGCGCACCAAAAGTTTTGTGCATTGCAGAAGAAGAGAATGCATATTCTAACAAAGGTAATGTATTCATCATCTAACCGATAAAGCTAACATCAACAAACCTCGAAGTTGTGCCATAAAAATCTATGCCGTGATCAATTGTTAGGATGTGAAATGACTGGAGTAAGTTGAAAGTCAGAACTAGAAAAAGTGTTCCTTCAGCGCTAACATCTCGAAACGTTTACAACGACGATGATGAACAAGTGCATTCATTAGTGCAGGGATTGAGGAAATAGTCGAATTATGTAGTAAAATTTTCAATTTATTGGTTTCCGTGATTAATTCACTCAAAAGCGAGCGGTTTTCGAGTGTCAGCAGTTGTGTGGATCAGACCTGCGATTGGACTTGTTTTTACTGTTGATAGCGTTTAGAACGGATGGTATATAGGAAAGAGGATGATTTGGAAATTAAGTAAAAGCTGATGAGTGCAGAGTGCAAAGGAATTGATCAGAATAAAGGAGCGCTATCGGCGGAGGTGCTGTTTGGTATGTTCGATGTAATAACATTATTCAAACAACGCACGAACAACGAATGCAAATGTAAAGTAGCATTGCAATGCAAGGTAAAGTCTAGCTGACTGATCAATAAAGTTTATTCGATATTTATACGAAAATATTGTGCAGCGAAGACTAACTAGTTCCGCTGTTAACACTGATAGTTCCATTCGTTTCGTTGTTGTTCAATTATCGTTTACCGACTGCGATTCATTCATGAATTAACCGCTGATGTCGTGGTGCTGTTAGATAGCGAATGATTGTTTGAGCGCAGTTGCCGAGATGATTGACAAGATTTAATGTGGTTGTTTGTACGTCACAAACAACACCCTTATCATCATATTATAATATAATAACGTATTTGTTGAATATTGAATAAAGTTCGATTCACTGAAAGAATGGATATCAATTCAACGACCGGTATCAACAATGCTCAAGAAGAGGAAGCACTCTGGGAGTTACGACAGCGATTCAGCCGAGTTAGTCTATTTTTCATATTTCCTACATTGCCTTAGATGACGAATCGGTTTGTTATGACCAGTGCTTATGTGTACCGAATCCGATGAAATTGTCCGCCAATCATTATCGTAAATCGGAGTCGTTTTCAAAGAAAGAATCATAAAAACCTGTCAAACTGTTCTGTCATTTGTTAGTAAACTTCTCGACGTTAATGTTATCATCCCTACACGGTAGCAGTATCATTCAAATTTTTTCACCCGTTCGCAAACTTCGTTAGAATAGGAATGAACAGCTGTACATTTTCCGTGTTTATGTTTAATATCCACTGCTTATGATGATCAGTGACGATATAGATCAAGTGACTCTTTTTTTTAAATATTTATAGATCATTCACTAAATAGTACTCTTATTGGCTGCAACCATTACCTAATTTTTATAATATCAGTTACTAAGCTTCAGCTACCATCACTTTATATCAGATCGGTCACTTTATATTACTGAAATGATCACTTTATAATATCATTTTAACGCGTCTGTTTGTCGAATCAATACGAAATTGGGAGAGAAAAGAAACTTTTTGCGAGAATGCACTAAACATACTAAACGATGCATTCTCTTATTATACTGAACTTTTATTTTTATCGCTTTCTTGTGACTTTCATCAGCATGTTCTCTTCAATTCATGATTGAATGTGATCCAATGAATAGGACAAAAATGAAACGTTGTGTTTACACTTGAAACATTTTATTTGTTAATCGCTTTTCAATAAAAACATCGAACTTTCCTGCCAATAAAACATTCTTTTTAGGAATGTAACAGATTAGCGATCTTTTACACTGCATTCTAGATCGTTCAAGAACATTTTCGTACAGGCTTCTCATACCAAATTTCACACTCTTAAAGATGTGGGAGTTTTTAATACCAAACGTTCAGCACTTTAAAAGTTTTAAATGCTTAATCGCCTTATTGTTGGGAAGGCGCGTCATGTGAATGAAAATATGTATTCTAGGATTGTTTCAAAAATTAATCGTCTATGTTTTTCACCTGTTGTGCGGAGTAGTGGTCCATGCGTNAGCTTACAGGGCTATCATTAGGCGAGCCCAAATCCGCAAATATCATTATTATATACTCGACAAGGCCGCAATCTGGCCATAGTAACAACGAAAATAATAATAGGACTGCTAATAATAATGATTCTGATGCTTTTTTTTGTACATAATAATCGCTCAGATTCGCTGTACGAGCCGAAACGGCAAATTCAACCTGATCGATTTATTACACCAGTTATACATATCGATTTCAACTCGTACTGAAAAATTTCGGTCATCAGTCACAGCTGTTCAGTTAGTCGTGAATACTTTTTGCTCATGTAATAAATTGTAAGGATAACACGTTGAATGATCGCGTATCACGGATTGATGTGAAGCGTTTGAATAACGATGACTGGTGGCTGTTAACATTCTTGCGTGCATATAAGTTGGATGTTGATATCGCATATGCCGTCCTACTGGAATGTCTCAAATGGCGAAAATCGATCGACGTTCATAGTATGATATCAATAATATTTGCCAATTTTTTGGATTTTCAAATTCTGAATTAATTTCCAGAATCGATTTTCTCAATACTAATTCAAAATAATCGCAACATAAATGATTTTCGAATCCTCCATAAAATGTTTGTTTTAGATATTAGTTTGCTGGAATTAAAGACGTTATTGGATCGTCGCTTAGCATATATACATGGAAGGGACGTGAAAGGGCGAAGTATTTGTAAGGGTTTCCACGCGTTGTTCTTTGCAGACATTACCTTCAGATAGAATCTCATATATTGATCTAATCATTCAATTATTCAATCATCCAGTTGATAAAATAATTGATTCTATAGCAATTTCGGTTCATTACGAGCATAAATCTATTTGATACATTAAAACAACCCTTCCGCTGGTTTTGTTGTAAAGTGAAAACCATGATGAACACCCTCCCTCATCCCGCTGCCTCCTCTCAGTTTGCCTCAGCGATCTATTAACTAATTTTTTATTTATTCACATTATTTCAGTATGGATCAATGTTTGTCAACACAGATCTGGTGATCCACTGATCGAGAAATTATTCGTTTATTGGCTTGAAAGACATAATACAGAGCTACGTGCCGCACCCATTACTGTTTTGTTCGACATGACTGCAAGTGGACTCCAGAACATGGTTTGTTGATGAACGATTGATGGATATGAACATTGCCGATCATTGAGTAGAATTACGGCCGTTAGTTCACAATGAATTATGCTCACGATCAGACTCAGCGAAAATTAGTAAATTACTGATTCGTTAATCCGTCATGTGTTAACACTTACAAAGCAATAAATTGCAGGATCTAGATTTCATGAAATTCTTCCTTCGTGCTTTCAAGTACTACTATCCTTGCTGTTTGTCATCGTTGTTGATTTTCGAGAATCCGTCAGTACTAAACGCATCATGGAAACTGGTTCGTTCCTGGATGGACACCGAGATGCAGCACCTTTTGCAGCATGTAACCAGGAATTCATTACCGAATTATATTTCTTGTCAATACTTGCCAGTTCACATGGGAGGAGAGGTGAATTTTCTTCAACGTTGTTCGCCTTCTTTATGTCTTCATTCATATTACCTTCTGCGAGCGTTCGACCGCACCATTTTACACAAGAGTTCTAGTGATGTATCTCCTTTTATTCAAGTGAAATGCAGAGTTTTCAATTTTGAAAACAAAATTTCAACGAAAATTACTTTGTAGGCAACGAAAATCCTTTTCCGTCATAAAGGAATGTGCTTGAAAACGCGATATGATAGAATCTAAATCAAACAGACGATAAAATGTAATCAAAAGTATTCATTACTCGGTTGAAACAAAGACAATTATAGTAGACAACAGCAGAATGAAACTGCTTATGAGGACGTCATGAAAACATCAAAAAGCTCCAAATGGAGACACTTTGTGACAATAATTTGAAAGACAAAAAAACTGAAAAAAATAAAATTACAAATCCGCCTCAGAACGTAACAACTGAATATTCTTACGATTTATGACAATCCGAAAACAAACGCAATCTCGTGAATCAAACAATAGCAACCGAAGAACTTCATTCTCAGAAAACACAACGTCCCTTAGCAGAATACTCCCAATTGATACAATAAGAGAAATAAACGATTACTGCATTTTTCATTTGCGCTTCGCGCATGTAAAAGTCTTCCCATAATGGCTTGTATAACTACTGTTTAAGGTGCGTGGGATGAATTTTAAAAATTTTTTAGCCGTTCTGCACCACTTCCACACATTGATCAGACCATTTCACGTTTGATTTTGCTTACATGCCTAAGTCTTTCAAACAAAATTCGGACGGGCGAGAAGAAATGCAAAATTATGTTCGATAACCATGTGTTTGTTCGATGTGCAGTAGAAAACATTTTTCAACTCATATATTGAGCTGTCAGAGATATGATCATTTTTCTAACGATAAAAAATGATTACGTAATGTTTCAAAATCTGTAAGTTGGCGATGTAGTTTCACATTATTGACGTAAACTGGCCTTAAAATTTTGACTTCGAAACTATACATTGGCTTNTCAATTGATGCGGCATGCATCGATAGGACGATAAAAACTGTTTACTAGTCAGTTGCCATTGCATGAAATCATGTTGGCTATTATCAGTGATTGCATCAATCTGGATGTAGCGTTTCTGATTTTTATTTATACTATTTCACTGATGTGTGAAATGTGCGACATGTGCCTGATAAGGCGGTAGTTGGAAACATGTTCAGTGGAGAGTTTTTTTTTTGGTGAATGTAGGTTGTTCGTCGATTTTTTGGTAACTAATGAAGGTCTCCGTTCGAGGTTCAAGGATTTCTCGTCGCTCACAATCAGTTTGTTGATGACACTTTCGTGTCTATATCCATCTCATCACTGGTGTATTGCCTTTCTTTATCATACTTGTTTGTGCCACTATAAATTAGCACGTTCGGTTTTTATTCCCTTTTATTGTTTAATTTTTTTTTTTAAATATCACTTTTGGATTGCTGAAATGTGTTACATTCAACATCTAGTACGCGAACGCAAACAATAATTGGTGTTGGTGCTGTGCTCCTTCAACGAACGTTTGTAGTTACAATTTATGATGCATAAACGCTGAGTTTATTAGTTTGACGAACAGCTGACGGGTGGTATTATATCGACGGCAATGCTATAGATTATGCCTATAGGGAAGACGCTTTGTGCAATCGTATAGCAGAGGCTGAACAATAAAGGTGCTCAGGGTGGAATTAAGTTACAGCTGCATTACTGCCTGCAGCAAATGCTCTTTACCTGAAGCGATAACGACTGAAGCAGATAGATGAATATCGTGGGGTATATTGTTGCGTATTAAATGCAACCTTCTTTTTTATTGCTGCCGCTGCATCTTCTTTGGCGTCATCTTATTCTTCTTCGTAAGCTTAAATTTTAACAATGCCTCCAACATCAGTTATTGTGTGCATACTGCTTGCTGCAACTCACTTGTCCATTGTGTCGACTAAAAGGAAACACCAACTTCGGAATAATGCTTCTTCTAGCGAACAGTTATTTGAACCCGTATTCACTTGAGTGAATTTATTATCTGTGCTGAGTGAGATCTTCACTTGTATCGTTGCGGTTTTAGGGAATATCGAAAATCTTTCCTTATTATTCTTAAATTCTTTCCCTTGTTAATATCAGTCTTTCATTGCTACTGTTGTTGTCAAATGATCTGTTTATTCATCATCACTACCAATATTTGCCATTTCATCGCAAAACTCACTAACCTTCAATCGTTTTTTGTAATGGAAGAAAATTGAAATTCAAGCAGAAACTGTCGTCGTAATATTCATCTAGTAGCTATTCATTCATCCATTAGGTCGCTTATTCATAACATCATTATCCATGTTCATAGCAGCTGTATATTAGATCTTTTTATCTAAAACAGTGAAATTATGGATTCCTCCCAATTTCTTTCTTTTCGTGAGTATCGACTTTCATTGGTCTCTTTCCACTGAACGCAAATTCTGGCGAGGTTTCAGATGGAATTTCTCTTTCAAATTTTTTCATTTCTCTTCGCGGGTCATTAAACAAAATGATCGATTTCTCATTTCAGTTATTTTTATGTTAGTCATTTTTTATCAAAAGATATTTATGTTCACTCGCTTCACTCAACAACATCTCAGCTTGTCAGTGCATACTGCATTATTTTTGATAACGACTCATCAAGTTCAGTGAGTGGTCATGTAACTGTGGCAGCAAATGATTTGTGCTTTAGTTCTAAAGGCAAACTTTTATCGCTTGATTTTTATCGTTCACTTATAACTGATCATGAAATTCGTGATAGATGTATGGGGTGTTTTGGAAGGAAAAATGAATGATTCCCTACGTTTTCTGCGTACATTCTAATCTCGACACACATGAAATTCACATCGTTTCCCATCTGGTTGATTTGTGTACAAAGCGATGAGACGAATGAGTGTTTCGTTTGCGATCCTTTTAATACAAATTTTAAGAATGCAAAAGTCTCAATCAGCTTTTGTTACTGGGCTAATATTATTGCTGGAATGTGAGCGTTCTTTATAACGTTATCATTTTCGATAAAGCTGAATATCAATCAAAAGTTTCTAATGCCAGCTATTACAGCTCGATTCACATGCTACATGCTCACTTCATTCTCCGTTTCATTTCACTCTGTATAAAATATTTCGTCAATAATAACGTATAAAACGCAGTTGACACATTGAAAATTTGAATGTTTTTGATTTTGAATATTTCATTGAAACAGACAAATTCCGATCCATACTTTAAGCACGTTGCAATAGAACGTTAGAATGGAAGTGCTTGAAATTAAAATGAAACAATAGATGGCGAGAGAGCTATTATATACACACGGTGCATGTAGAGCAGCTATTATCCGCTTTCAGTGATCGTTAATCGCACGTAAAGCGCGATATATCGATAACTTACAATTAGTATGTGATAGCGTAGAATAATCATTACCATTCAGTATTGTTCCTCCTGCACTAGTATTATATAATAATTACCTTATCGCATGATTCTCCCATCCGCATTATGTACCTTTACTTCAGCCAACACATAAAGATGCAGGAAACTCATTTATAATTGCAGTGTTACTTCTGAAGTAATTTGATGTTATACAATGACTGTTGTTGTTCAATGAAATGGTATCAAATGGATCGAATATTTATGATATAATCGTTTTTTGTTTGATTGAAGGACAAATTTATATTTACGATGGATGAATTAGCACGATGTATGCCATCGAGTAGTGAGACTGTTGTCGATCAACAACAACAACACGCTACAACACCAGATCTTGATAACTTCACTGCAAAGAAAGTCAGTAAACAGCATTCAGTTGCTAAAAAATTCATCACTTTTTCTGTTTCATGGCATTCACATAGCATGAGAATCAGAAGTTTGAATGAATCGACTGAAAATTGCAGCAAGCAGTGAAATTCGACGATGATGATGCAGCAACGCGTTCCACTCCACTCAACGTTCATTCACCCCGCTCTGCATCACAATCCAAAAGAAACGCTGGAACGATTCCGCCCACACTAAAACCACTCGCTGAATCTCGCATCGCATTGGCTTCAGATTCCATCACTATCCGATTCCTATCCATCAAGTACGTCTTAACTGAATATCGACAATCGCCCTTTTACAGTCTTTTTCAGTCGTTCGTGCTACATACGCATTGGTGCTCATCTCTCAAGGATAAGCGGAAAAAACACAGTAACAGTCGGAAGTCCACTACAATAAGTTCAACTGGAGTTTAGAAATAGTTTACGCAGCAGTTGTCTTTATGAATTATTGACTTGTCAGCACCTCGCAGTCTTATGGACTTTTCGACAGTATCTAACTTGAGTTATGTATTCCACGTTTCGGAATCTACCCGAATACTCGAGCAACGAGGATTAAAGTAATTAGCTTGAATGAGCAGCTCATTTCGAAGTTTCTCCGTAGCTGTTATGCACGCAGAAAAGGGATTGGTATCGATGAAATTGCAGTCCTCGAGAGGAATTGACACTGAAGCGTGTGAATGGGGAGAATGATTATGTGGATATTGTCGTGCTAAAGAACATCAGTGCAAAGAATGTCATCTACAAATTCAAAATCACGTCTCCGGAGAAATTTCGTGTCAGGCCGAGTATGGGCATAATCGCGTCGGGTGGTATGGAACTCGTTCGTGTTTATCTTCAAAGCGGTTAGTTGGTTTACTTTTTCGAACGATTAGGCAAGACGAACAAATTTTACGAGCTGACCAAACAACTATTTGTTCGATGGCTCAGGTTGACAATGATAAAATTTCCGCTTTGTTCTTGCCAAGCGATGCGAGAAACTTGAAAGGCAATGCTTACTCGTCGACATCTATCCTTCCTTATCAACCCCACTGCAGTTTATAAGCCGTGATAAGTTTGCCTGGATTGGCCAGGCTATCAAAAGTTCTTAACGCTGCTGGCCACAATGCTCGCGTTTTCGTTCGCACTGTTCTAGCCTTCATTCACACTACATAGCTGACTGGGCGAGTAGGCCAACCGAACACAATCGAGTAATTAGTTAGCCAAATAACAATCTAATAAGTAATCATAACTCATCATAACTCTAACAAAATAAATATTCCGTAAGTAAAATGAAATCATCCGGTAAGTGGTTTGGAATTTTTTCAGAGTATAGGCATTCCGTGCAAAAGGAGAAGTTTTTACTGATGGCTGTGGAGACTGACGTCAAAGTAAGCGACGACTTCACGGATGTTTGGAAGAATGCAAACGATCAGGATCGAATAGAACATAAACTGAAATGTCGACTATCGGAGAGCCACGTCGAATCGCCATCTCTCTATACACCAGCGACAACGAACAATCATATCAAATCACCACTCGTTAATGTTCAAAATCAGGTAACAATTTTATTCCATTGATGTTGTTAAGCAGTTCCAATTATTCTATATTTCTACTTATCAAAATTCAGACAGTGCAATTATTACACATGTGGTAGTTCGGAGGTGAGATTTTGAGTCTCTAGGCACTGTGTGCATTTTTTCCACGTATGATCATATTCGTGTAAACAGTTTGCACAAACCTTTCTTATTCCCATGTGAAAAAGAAAACTAAATCTAAAAGGAAAATTGAAAAACGAATACTAAGCTTTACATAAAGGGTGAAAAAAAATTGCGAGCTTTTAACTCAAGAAAGCTTTTAACTCAAGAACAACAGCCAACTAGCCACTGTGCTCACAAACTCCACTCAAAATAAAATGAGATGATTGGTCGTTGGGTGAAGTCAGCCGTCATCCTCTGAATGACATGAAGTAGTTCACCGCGAATGTCATTTCAGAAACGATAATTTTCACTACAATAAATTTTTCGACGAGATCATTTTCACAGCATACAGTTGATGCGGCTTTTTCTGCAAAATTTCGCTATGCGGTTCATAGGTTCAGACATTTGTAGTTTTCTTCCACATTCCTATATATGAATATTCGGACGACCTACGTTTGAATCATTACCGCACGTATTTGTACAAATGTATCACTCAGCAGACTCGAACATTGGTTCTTTCGTGCTGTATTACTAAATTTCCAACCACTACCACTGCGCTATGCACGCAGTTTGAAATAAAGAGCTTTCAGGCATCACTACAACAACAGCTAACGAGATTGTTTGGACGGCAGCGAATTCTGTTGATTTGTGTGATAATACTGATAATATTACAGTTGATATCGTTGGCATGTCAAAGAGCATATCATTTGTCACTGATGAATGTACACAAAGAGTACTGCCTCAACATTGTGCAAATGAATAATGAACAAAAGGTTGAGGTTGAATCTGAGTTGTAAATGGATGTACCTGTTTCACTGTCAGCTTTATCATCGATTTCAGTGTTGTTATCATGCAATAGATAGCTCTTTATCAGTGATAAGATCAACGTCATACAACACGAACTGGTCTGCAACTACTGTTTACAATAATAAGAAGTCTCTTATCAAATCGAGATATAATTGGTTGACAAGAGTACGTTGCTTATCACTGATCTAGGTGGTAGTAACTGTTGTTATTACACCGATATTATCGTCGGTAATGTTACGATTATTTTGATTAGTATTGTTATCATTATTTCGATCGAAATAAATTGGTTCTCAATGTGTCTATACGAGTATTACACCATGGTTTGTTGGAAGAGGAGCAAGCACATTTTTGTAGGAACGAATTGATTACATAATCATCGAAGTGGAGCATACAATAGTTCTTTGGAAGTATCGCAAAATAATGCCACCCCATTGGCTATTGATTGCATTCATGATCTTTTGCATTCATTCATGAAATATATGCGTCTTTATTTGATAGGCGCAATTCAACTGCGTATCAAACAATGATGAGCACGAGAATTTTGGATCTTAATTTGTTAGCGTTTGATTTACAGGTTGAATAATACAATTTCTATTCAAGCTGTACTTCGATAAAAAGAATTCCAGCTGAAGCTGCCGAAATTGAGCAGTTATTTCCATGTGACTGATAGTGAGTAAAAAACGACTTTCGACAAAAGTTTCAAAGAATTTCAAAAACAAAGCGAACTCTGATGGAGTCGCTTATTTCTTCCTAAAGCAACATAATTTCATTGCTCGATTCAAATGAATTCAACTCCAGGGAATAAATAATTCGGTTCACCTTTTATACGCCACGAAAATGAATCAACCCTACGTCATACAGGCTGATTTGTGGTTTAGGACTTCTCTCGTTCTCTCATTTTCGATACATACGTCTGCATCCAAGCCGCACGCGTGTCATGCAGCTGGTCTCACTGCTTTCCGACGTGTAAATTCGTTTAGCATTTTCCGAATTTGTTGTCCGTTTTCTTTGCGACAATACCCGTCGAATGTCTAATTTCGTTACCGTTCCGAAATTCCAGTTTTGCAACTGGTAATTCCAGGTGAAAGCTGGAATATTTCAGTGTTCGGAATGTGAAATGAATTTTATTGTCTCGAAAAATTGAGTGTATCCATCCAATCTTGCAACATATTCTTGTTGCTGTTCAAAGCTTATGATTCAGCCCTATTCTTTGTAATGAATTCAGAATTTCGGTTTTTTCTAAATTCGACAACATTTTCACTAATTGAAAACAACTCGAATGTTTTTCGACAAGGCGCATCGTCTTGTAAGCCTATCTCTTCCGTATGGATGTAATTTATCATGATTTTGGAAATTCTTGGCATAGTTTTATCGTTTATTCGGCTATTTATAAGGCAAACATGTGTGCTGGCTTTAATCGTTCGGGTCGTCAATTTTTTCGATTTGTTTTCTAAGCCCAATTTCTCTATTTTAGAGGCCAAGTGTTTCGATAATTGTCATGCACTTGGCAAGACAGTTTAGGGTTCCGAGTCGTCATATCATAACAAAGTTTACAAGACCCGGTAAGAGCTGAAAATTTGTGCGTTTTTTTACATTCATATCACTACCAGATGCGTTACCTCTGATTTTTTGTAACCTCTCGTTTACATTTAAAAAAAAGATAATCTGAATTGTTCATTCCGTCACTGCTATTATTTTATTAATTGNGTGATTGCGATGCGTATGTTTTATTGGCATTTATATTTCTATGCTTCCATCATCGTCATGTCAAGTGAATTGGTTTGACTGGATTTGAATATGCAATCCTTTTTAACGCTGAAAAAAATTTTAAGTTCACTGTTAGATTTTATTCATTAACACAGGCATGGTATTTCAGGTGTAGTCCACCGATCATTATTCATCACAAGAATGGCTTCATCCTCTTCATCAACCGGTACCAATTGCAAATTTGTTTTTGCCAGTCTGAGTGGAGTAATATTCAGAAACAATGATGGATTTACGAGTTGATCTTTACTGAGTTTCTGTTTGAGGTGATAGTGAAGGTGTGATCAAGAAATTGGGAAAAGATCGAAATCCAAAAGATGTGAAAGCAGAAGAATGGCGAAGTGTTATGAATGATTTGGAATACAATGTTACACGACAGGCTGATACGGAAAGGCCATTTACTGGTAAATATGATAAGCTTTTTGATGAAGGACAATACAATTGTTACTGTTGTGGAGCCAAATTATTCAAGTCAGTTCTTCCGCATCATATTCCATTCCAGTTTTACTTATTCGTTGCAAGATAACTGTTCACGATTGTAGAAGATTCTAGACTGATCGGAAAATGTATATGAAGCGTGTTATTCTAGAGGAGTATTCGATTTTGTATATTTTCACGACCTTACTGAACTGTAAGTGAAACTAACTTACAATAATTATAAATTCAGATCAGACGCAAAATATTATTCTGGATGTGGATGGCCTGCGTTTTCAAAATCAATCGATAATGACCTGAATATTATCCGTAAGAAGGATACTTCTCTGGGAATGGAGAGGATCGAAGTACGCTGCAAACAGGTTCTTTTTAAAATCGATCCTATAATTTCGTTTTCCTCTTCCGAACTATTTGTGTATGCTTTTTCGGTATCGTTTCGGTGTTTATTATATGTCTTCATCAGTCGAAAAAAATTCTCATTTGAGTTCGGAAAAATCTCGATTCCATCTAATCGTCGAATACTTTCAGTGTAACGCTCACTTAGGACATGTATTTGATGATGGCCCTAAAGAGACTGGCGAGCGATACTGTATAAATAGTTGTTCGCTGAATTTTGTCAGGAAACAGTAACATGTTCATTCACTGGTTTTTTCAAAAATTTCACGCTGAAAACTACGCACTCTTACAATATTTTTTCACATCTCTCACGGTTGGGGTGATATTCTGTTAGGTTTTACTTTGTCGCTGTTTTTGTCCATTTCCATTTCGCCATGTTGTTTTGTTCTCAACTAAAAAGAGCAAAATCGTCCATTAATTAGCGCCCTGATGTTAAGCTTATGCGTATTTATTTCCATTTTTGTGTTACATATTTGTCAAGTGTTAATTCTGTATGTGAATCTCGATTCGAAACCATCTTCTAGACAATGGTGATTGTCTTCGCTTTGTTCTATGCAATCTCGGCGACATCGTGTGATTAATTCGATCAGAAAATATCTGAGTTAACCAAACGATTGTTGCAGAAGAAAATGTTTCACCGAATTTCTGATGTGACTGCAAAGTAAATATGGTATCATTGAGATGTTTGTGTAAAAATTTGGAAAGTGTACTTTTTAATTAGATTATATGGCCCAATGATTTTCCGAAAGATGGATTTATTGTTGGAATTGGGCGTAGTTCCGATCGCTCTGGACGATCGGAAAATCAGTATTCATCACTAACAACATATAAAGGCATACAGTCACCGATGTTTACGGATGAATGGATGAATAAATAAATGAATGAAACATGTAGAAAAGAGTAGTCACTGACCATGACTAAATTTTATTTTTTGGCGTTAAGTTCAAAAATAAACGAAAACGAATAAGGAAAAAGTGTTTGTTCAACAAGGTCTTATTCGTGTTAGGCCTATGAAAAAAAAAAAAACTAAAGAAAGCTGCTTACTCGTGTCACGCTGTCGTAACTGCGTCAAGCAATTGCTGTTCTTACATACTAATGCCGTTTTCATAGCCGCAACGTGTTGACAATGAATCTTTTCATTGTTCACACCAAAGTCGCCGAATGTCATTAGCCCACCACCATCGATCCTCGTGTATAATGGCGCTTTGAAATTACAATCGGACTCAGTGGGTATTATCAGTTACAACCAAGCGACTGCACCTAGAATCGAATTCAATGCTGATAAGATGTATCATTTTCTAGCACAGATTGCACTACTGTACTACCCAAGTTATCAACANCACTCTATCAGTTCTATGCTTGTTATCACACAAATATGGGACAGATTTCCTCAACAAATCTGTCAGTGAATATTCAGACAATATGTCGTACCCATCAAATAAACGGTACTCACATATAACACTAAAAATATTATCTCGTTGGAATGACGATAAAGTCATTGATAAAATAACACCAAATATTAGCATACTATCAGAACGGTAACTGACTCCTGATCTATGTAGTCATCAACACAACAACGATTTGTTACTTAAAAATGTAGTCAAAGAATGGTATCTACATTCCAATTCGGAATTTTGATTGAAAATATGTGAACCATACAAAGTCATGAAGAATGTCTACACGGCAGCACCAACATACCGCACAAAGCAACCATCACAGAACGAAACAGAAAATGTGAATTGGTAGGGTCTCCTTAAAAATCACCACATTTCACTGCGTTCAAAATATTGATCAAACCGAAGTGGTCGGTAGTGCACCTACAAAGTGCTATATCTACCATACCATTAACAGATAACTTTCAACGCCAACACATCAATGAAAAAAATCGTAACTCTTCCGAAAACATTTGCTCTCATTTCAGGAGCTATTCATTTCAGAAGAACTTCAGTGCTACTTCATCTATTTACTGCACGCACATATGTTCATTCTGTTGTGAAGTTCTCATGAAATTTGGGTCGGATAAAATGGTTTGCATCATTCGAACGACTTACCGTTTTGTTTCATTTTCCTTACATCTGAATTTCTTCACTGTGGACAGAAATTTCGGAGAACGTCTAATTACGTTGACACTTCCAAGTCTATTCGTTTTCGCAATCTTGCAAACGAGCGATTTTTTTGATGTTTGTGCTGATGCTTGCTGCTGTTAATATCACTTTGGTTACGGAATTGTTTTTATTTAAATTAGTGTTATTGGTAGAACGCCATTTGGTTTCGGACGAAAATTTCCAGGTGGGGGAAGAAGGGGGAAAGTTGTTTTCGAAGTAGAATGGTGTGCCGATGCCACTGATTTTATTGAGCCTGAGCAAGTCTATGGTTTACCTTGTGTCTGATTATTTATCTTTTTTGTTTAGTATCAAATTGTTCATAGTTTATGGACTTTTCATGTTCAGATCAGACGCCATCAGACATAATCATTTTGATAGTGAATTATGATTGTTGCTGACGAACGACATGTGGAACAACTTGGAGCTGTCCGTTTACAGAATGAAATACCGGTTCGATTTCACCTTCGAAATGCGGGCACTTTTGCTGATAACGGGCGCCACTGCGCGCATGTGCTTAGATTAATTACCATTTGCCCCATATGTAGATATGCAGTTCGAAATCAAATCAGGAGTATGCTTAAGCCGCACTTTTGCTAATAACGGGCGCCACCGCGCCATCACAGATGCCCGTGTACTCATACGCTTCTCACGTAAGTTGAAGCCTATGCGTTAGCCTCATCACTGGACTAAGCGTAAGTTTAAGCTTGAGCATACTCCTGATATGATTTCGAATTACATATCTGCACATGGGGCAAATGGTAATCTAAGCACATGTGCGCAATGGCGCCCGTTATCAGCGAAAGTGCCTAAATTTGTTACATCCTCAGTGAACTTTAGAATTTACTCGTACAGATATTCGGATGGTTTTTTGTTGTTACTTTTACTCGAGATGATTTAGGAAGTTTTGCTGATTAAGTTGTCCATTCAATGGACGAATTGCCATGTCATCAAAAATGGACACGTGGATGATTGATCAAACTAGTGCTTGCTTGCAAAAACATTTTTTGAGTGATATATGGTTAAAATGATAATAGTGACGAAGAATTGGCAAACATTGATAATTGATTGTAATAATGGGTACAGTGTTAATGAATAGTAATGAAAACGAATTACTCGGCTTGCTAGGAGGGCAAATGAACCGCCAGTATCCGCTCGTTGGTCCAGATGAACAATTTAATCCGTAGCACTTTTGTAGCTCAGGTTTTGAAGTATTTCCAAATTATAAGATAACAGTAGTTAATGCTCTGGTATGCATGTTTTCACCAATTTATCACATCAGTAGTGATTGTTTAAGTATGAAGAAATGAACGACGATGAGAAATGGCGTATTGAACATGCGAAATTGCATGCGAAACATAAAGGTCACGAGCAAATGCACATGGAAATGTTTCTGATTTTAATTGTCACTCTTGTTGTGGCGCAGATTGCACTCGTTCAGTGGAAAAAACGACATTTCAAATCATATCAGGTCAGCTAGTCATTTTTATGAATTTATTCATCAATTACGTTTGGTTTTGAACATTCGAATCACATGAGCTGAACACAGAGGTTTTACATGTAAGGATTCTTCTATATTCGTCCATCATGATGATGTTATCTTCAAATTGAGGTTGTAATCTTATTTATTGGTACGTAGCATAATAATGTCTGTTCGAAATTATATTTTTTCGGAACTTCATCGCATTTAATAAATTCAGTTATGTACTCTACTTGGGATGTGGCTGATACCGGTGTTTGTATGCGTACAAAGAGAATGGTGGCGTTTCTTGGTCACATGGGTGTTATATTCGGTGTTCTCAACATTCATTTGGTTTAAGGCCACTAGACCACAAATATCGGGAACTACTCCTAGGTATTGTATTGACTTGTGATAATGAAATTCTGCAGGATTCTTGTTTGCTTAAATCAGTTGATCGTTATTGCGACCATATGTGTAACAACTGATGATATTTGATTTCATTCCAGTTGTATGTTTTAACTTTCAGTATTTCGCTTCTTTACAGTCGAAATTCGAATATCATGATAGTAAAATTCTTTTGTGTCATCAATCATATCGATGAGGGTGAGTTAATGTCTATGAAAGGGACAACGTTATAAGCCTCATTGTGACCTTCGAATGAGTTTCGGTCTAACAGCTTAGGCTTGTGTGCAAACTTGAGGTAAAATACAGCACCGTTTTTTCATAGAGTATGTCTCGTAATATACCACTTGGTGAGGCTCGACCGAAATTGGAAGTTAGACATAGGTTGAGTTTTGTGTGTAGTTTAATAGACATGTTAACTACTACAATATCACCGCCGATAGGTGTTTAGTGAATGTGTGACATGTCCAGTTGAATAAAATATGCAATTTTAGGTTTGTTTATACATGGTTTCTGTTCCTGCACAAACTGAGCTATGTTCTGGGCATTGGTGGTTATCTTTTAATAATGTTCACACTTCTTGGTGTGAATGTGATATTTGGAATGCGTCCGAATGTTACTATGGATGCTGGTTTATTACTGTTATTTTATGGTTTATATTACGGAGTATTAGGACGTGATATGGCACATATATGTACAGATCGAATGGCCTGCAAAATTGGTGTCAGTGGATCTATATTCTTTCACTGCTCAGTGCTTCATTCACTGAAATCATTGTCTTGTTCTGTAAGATCAAAAATGCCGTCCGTCTATACGCTGATTGAATGAACCATACATTGTGATTGTGACGTCTAGTAAACTTTACCAGACATAGATGGTTGATCTCTTATGTGTGCGATTGCAAGCAGTTAAATAATAGTGTTATCAAGATAAGCTTTCTTTGAAGTGTTCGGTGTGTGATAAGTTCAAATCGTTACTTCTGATTGAATAATTGAGCTTGCAAAGATAGCTACTAAGAGATAACGATGATGCTATTAGTGAACAATGAAGATTGCAGTATTATACGCAAGATGGATTGCCAAAGAAAATACTCGAATCGGACGTGTGTGCAGTGTGTGGTAATCGTTTGGATAGCGAAGCTTACGAAGGAGGTGAATCGGAATCAACCTATCGACTGACATGTGGTCATGTATTTCATGAGTTCTGTATTCGAGGATGGTGTGTAGTGGGTAAGCAACAGACGTGTCCGTATTGTAAGGAGAAAGTCGACTTGAAACGAATGTTCAAAAATCCGTTAGTTTCGTTCATTGATTCCATACATTTTACCATTCATACGAATGCAGCAGTCTTCTTGAGTTAGGATCCCTCGAAAAGTGTCTTAAATCGAATTGGAACGATGTTGTATATTGTTCTATAAAAAGTGTCCGGAGTTTGAATGTACGTGTGAGTGTGAGGCTGAAGATAAGTATTAGCTCGAGCTGATCCGATTTTAACTTTTGAGTTTTCAAGATTTCTGCACTAGCACTTTGCTTAGCAAGGCCTCATTTTTGCATGAGTGCGCAATCGCCTCTGCATGTACAGTCGAAAATTTTGGTTTAGTTATTTCAGTACTAATAAATTATCCCAACTTCACTCTGATGAACTGTTTTAGTCTGACTTTTCATACGTTCGTCATCAAACGATTACAGTTAGAAACATTATCACGCGAGTAATTAATGGACTGCACACTTTAAATGATGACGTCCCTATTCAGATGGGAAAAACCACATTTATTCTTTGGGCAATTATTGGATTGGATACGATATTTAGTGGCTTGGCAACCACTGATCGTGACGTTCGTTCAAGGAATCAACAAGGTATTCGGTTTGGAGTAACGCTGGCATAAAAACTCTAATTTATAATTATCGACATGTTTTTCGTCAATTATTTATTCCTACAACGCAATGAGCATATTTTCCATCATCTGTTTGATGTGATCATACAAGTGCGAATGAATGAATTGCTGTCGTGTTTGTGAAGTGTTAACGCAAAAATTAGGTGAAATGATTCCTATAAAGGTCATTCTGATACCTGAAAATACCCTGACGTTCCATAAGAACGAAGAGATTGGAACTTATCGATCGAACTCATACAGTAAGTTGCAGTTCTGAATTTGACGTTCTATTTCAGCAGTTTTCATGATTAAACGTTTATTTTGCCTCGTAATCGTGTGAACGAAAAAGTGTCGTGATTATTTTTGTGCTCTGTTATGCTACATTCATCTGTTTTGGTTTATATCGAAAATTCTTTCGAATTAATAAGGAATACTCATCAGTTGTTGCGTATCAACAGCACATAATTTGTTTCGGCGCAGAGACAAAGTAGCGTATTAAGGGTATGAAACAGTTAAGGTGCACTTTCTCAAACTCAAATCATCTCGTAAAGGTACCAAATGACATTCTGTATATTTCAATCTTCTTCGCTAATAATTTTCTTTCTTCGGTGTCATTGCTATTCTCATCATTTCTACTAATTTATTTGTCCTTTAATCAATGTTCCTCATACTGTGATTTGAAAGTTTTTTGTAAGTAGGGCTGAAATCTGTTTTGAACTTTGTCGACAGTTTGTTGTGATTGTTACAATTGTTGTTACTTCTTGATGAATTAACTGAATTGCTTTCCGTGATTGTTTCATTTCTTTTCATTCATTCATCCTATATAGTTGTTACCAAAAAGTTGTTGTCGCCGTAATTTTATTTTCAAATTTTGTTTTCATCCTTCATTCGGTCTCATTCGTGGTGTGTAGTCCTTATGAATGTTCAATAATTTATTCGATTGTGCAATAGTCGCGAGTGAATTCAGTGAGCGTGGCTGTTTCTTTATGGGATTCGAGCGTGTAATTTCGTTAGCATTTAATTTTATATGAATTGGGTGAATGTTGACTAATGAGTGAATATTATTATTTAAGTCTATTTGTATTGTTATCATCATGTTGAATATTATTATTTTAAAGTCTATTTTATTGTACCTATTATTAATTTTATTATTTCATTATTTTCGCACTTCATTACATAGTTATTTATTCATTATCATTTCGATTCTCTTATATCACTGTGTGATCAATTCATTGTAGTTTGATCAGTTCAACTTGAAATAAACAACTTCATCAGTGCACCCAGTCAACTTTCGGTCATAGCGTAATTCGTTGTTCATTTCGATGAATCCGTGAAAACGTTTTATTTCGATCGAAATTTATTCGGCATGTGTTGTTCGTTTTAATTGCACTGTTCATATCATCCCAGATGTTTAACACGGGTCCATTTTAGTGATTTTTTTAGTGGTATTCGTTTATGGTTTGTTGGTGATTCATTGCAATAGTCAAGTTTTTGCAAAGGATGGCGCAGTTGCCGAAGAAGTTCGTTTTAATTACTATTATAGTTGCTTTTTTCATTGGTTTGGAGGAGGAATTTGTGTTAAATTTTTGATCAGTTCATCACGTTTTATGATCACTGGGCAAAATGTTCAAATGTGCACGTTGATAATATTACAGCATAATAGTAATCAAGTTTTTAAGACAGTATGGGTTAATCATAAAGAAGAACGAGCCGAATCTGTTAGCAGTTAAATCAGCTGCAGCCGTTGCATTTGCAAATTCAGATGAAGATGATGATAACACCATCGATACTAATGTAGGTTTTGATCTTCCGCTTCTATTCTATTATGTTTTCTTTTGTATGCGTTTACTCGTGATCCATTTAGATGTCGATTCAGTCGAATAAATCGCTCAACAACGGTGCTCTTAAATTCCATAAATATTCAACTTGATTTCTCGATAAATCTCCAAGTGTCTTCTAGAAACATGGAGAACGTCATCAAATATTTAACTGTGCTTTTCAATGTCAGTTCACAGTTTCAGTTTCAATGCAAAGCAATCGAATAGTGTAACGCACACTACACCTGGTTGTATTGTGCGATTGAACAATGAAATAATAGCCGAAGCAACAGTGGATGAATGAGGTTGTGCTTTCAGATAATGAAATCAAAAAGCGAAAGTGCCTCAATAATGCGCGTTCGTATGCAAGCCAAACGTGAACACGAAAGGGCATTGGCTCAAGACCCGTCAATATTCGATTATGATGCCGTTTATGAGGACCTTCAAGCGAGTAAAAATCAAAAGTTATTGGAACAAAAAACGGCTGATAGAGAACGAAAAGTTAGTGATTCGTTTCATTTCTTAACGTTCGTGATTGCTATTAAGCATTCGTGATGATCATTCATGGAATTGTTGACATTTTACAGTCACAACAAATGCGGATTATTTTAGCTCTTATTTAGAATAGTGCTTAAGTTTTGGTGTAATTTTCTGAAAAGTTTGTTTTTACAAGGAAAAGTTTAACGTAATGGCCATTAAGAGTCCACTTTCAGTGACTGAGAGGAGTCATATATGCAGAATTTATGAATTTGGATATGTTGAAAGTGTTCACATATATGCACTGGTTTATTATATGAAAATGAGATTTATTGAATTGCCCATTGCAGAGATACAATCTGCAGATAATAGATTTGCTCGTAAATATCATGGGTTGTTTCAGTCGAAATATGCAGAGCAAATATTAAAAGCACATAAACGACGTCTTTTGGAGCAACAAGGTAGAGAAGAAAGAAAACAGTTGAAAGAACGTGAGGCTGAGAATGGTGAATTCGAGGATAAAGAGGTTCGTTCACTTCGCTGTTACTCAGCGGTTTTGCATTTATGATACTTTTTGGATTCTATTTTACGTTATTATTTATTACTTCGGACTGCAGATTGATTGAACAAGTATTCATCAGAATGAAGTAATAATTAATAATATTAATAAATTCAAGGTGTTTGTCACGGGAGCGTATCGAAAACAAATGGAGGAAATGCAAAAATTCCGTGAACAAGAGGCCGTTGAGAATCGTTTGGACGGTTTGTTGGCATCTATCATCTCATTTTATCCTGATATTACGTGTGTTATTTTCAAAACAGTATTCGTTAGATGATATCGTAGTGTTTCCTATTTTACTGTAACAAAAAAANAAAAAAATTATAGAAACGATATTCTAATGAACTGAATTTCTGGCAAAATAAATTGAACGGGAAGGAATGGAATGAAGATTTCTGTGACATACAAATCTGCGAATAAATTGTTGGTAATGTTGTATGATAGGTGAAGTGCTAATCGATTCTGATTTCCATGACCTGAATTTCTTTCTAACTTAGGCTAGGGCTTACGTTTTACGCATGATCTTAGGCGCGGGGTCGTGTTGGTTTCAACTGGCGGCAACTGAAGTTGACCGAATGCTTACCGTATTATGCAATCAGTTGTCATTTTTCATTTTTATTGGAGTGATTCTAGAGTTAACGGCCGTCGAGAAGCAAAAAGAGGGCATGTGGCAGGGCGGATTCTACCGATCCCTTCTAAATGATCTCTCTCGTAAAGACGACCAAACCTCATCATCTGATCGAAATAGTCAGAATCAGTTCAAAGAGGAGGTTATTTGCGGTCTCATTTGTCATTCAGTTTATTCGTTGATGACATCAAGAACAGCAGTGTCAGTGATAATTTAGTGGAGTGAAGGTAGAGATTGTTTTGATATGATGAGTTTGCAGATTTATTGAATTTCAGATCTGCTGGTCTTGATGTACAAAATTATTCATGCAACTTTTGATTAATCAAATTTGTGGTTGTCCGATGATGGTTCTGTGAGCTGAAACATTGAAAAATAATTTTTCGCATCAAGATGAGTGCATTTGAAATTCAATAAAGCCGCACATAGGTGATCTAAAAACAAGGTATACCATCCATTTACACAATGCGTCTTCGAAAGAGTGTGGCGATTAATCACNTGATAACAGATGTGGTTATAATACCTATGCAAATATTGATGTAAATAGGTATTTAATGGCGATGATATTCATGTTCACAAATTTGAAGGTAACGGATGAGAATGATGTTGAAATGAATGAAGCAAAGGACGAACTTGAAAAAGCGTGTTCGTCGAAATGCGCATCGCTGCAATCGAAGCAGCAAAAAGTGAAATTTTCTGAAAAAGTGAAATCGTTGCGAAGAAGAGAGAGCAGTTCATCAGGCGATGGTGACGATTCATCGTTAAAAACGCCGAAAGATCGCTCTTCAGACTCCGAGCAACGCAGAAAAATGATTGAATCTGCAAAAAAATTGAAGAAGAAATCGATATATTCATCAGACGACGAGTCTGAATCAGACAGCAACGCACCTTTGTCGCCACTCACCAACGAAGGACCAATACTAAAACCTGGATTGAATATTTTGGTTCGTTCAATGTTATCAGTATTTATTCATTGAGTTTAATGGTTTTCTTCTAAAACTTTCTGGAAAACTTGTGTGTTTGAGTGCGTTCGGTGATCTATTTTATGTGGTTAGAGAATGCTTTTGGTGTTTCTGTTCTCCTCGCCGCACTTCAGTGTCCACCTTCAATTATCAAGAACAAATGAATTCTTTCCAGCTAATTGAGCCGCTGGTCAACGCCTACAGGATCACTTATGTCCAATCGTTATTCGAATATTCGTTGGAATTAATTTCTGTCGCTTTCAGCCAAAAGCAACTAAAAAGCCAACAAAAGCTCAACAATTGCAACGTCGATTCACACCGTCACCAACAGGAAGTGGCAATAATGATAGCAGTGGTGATGAACGTGATATAACTGATTCGCGAGAGAGGAGAAGAACGAGGGCAGTGGAGCAAGACAGAGGAACAAGGAATGGACGCTCGAGAAAATATCGGCGAGAGCGTTCGAAATCGTCGTCTGTGTCACCGTCAGGAAAACGTCATAAAAAACGGTAACTTTTGAGAACAGTTTGAGGATTAATTTATTGATCAGTTTGAGTGTTTGGTTTAAGAAAAAATTGAATAAATCGCTTTGTTAGGATGAATGATATTTCAGCAAAAAAAATAACTACATAGTTATTGTAATTTTGTCTTTTTTGTGTAATTTTGTCTATTTTTTTGTCTTTCTATGATCGTCATGGCCGCTGAATTTCTTTTATTTGAGTTCTGTCGTATTCATTCATTTCATTCTGTTCATTTTCGGATTGGAATTGAATGCATTGCTTTCAATTCATCCCATTTTTTTCGAGATGGAACATTCGAAATTCGCACGAGGGCAGTTACGAATGATTTCTAAATAAATAGCAAAATCTGTTACACCATTTTCTCTTGCATTTGTTCGTTCAGTTTATTGCGAAAAAATAAGTGCCAATGGGTTCATAATGAATGAAGAGCAAAGGTAATAGGGCAGAATGGAAATCGATAGTTTGTAGGAGGAATAAGGGAAAGCGGACGATTGTATGGGTCAGATTTCCAAATTGACTGGTCAAAATTGGACGCAGAAAATGGGAATAGGTGATAAGTCGCGATATGTGAAGGGGATTTTGTTCATAATGAGCATTAACGGCTGAACCAATAAATAAAAATGAACTTGAACTTAGAAACTGCATAATTTTGGAGGTTCTTTTACAGCATCGATCATTCAAAAGAAAGAGATGGACATCGCAATCATGATCGTCGTGAACGACGTCATCGTTCTGATCGGCCTGAACATGGAGAGGAATGGGCACCGAGGGATAAACGAAGCAGAAAGCGACCAGGGGATGATGAGAAGAAAAAGATTGGAAAAGATGAGGTAGAAGTAAAAGGTGGTAAGGCTAAGAATGAACGAGCTGAAAAGGACACAAAGAAACCGATCACGAAACAAGAGAGGTTACTATTTATTCATTATTTTAATGAATGTTCAGTTATATTATTTCACTGAATTCGGCATTGCCTAGCTGTATTTCTTGTGTGTTTATCTGCCCCGATTTCATTCTACATAGCTCCGATATTATTTCATTTCAGGATGATTTGAACTGTTGAGTATAATTTTATTCAATGTTTATTTTGTTCGGTCGCTATTGGATTTTCACTTTTTTCGAGGTTATAACCATTAGAACTATCATCGGAAACCATTCAAATATTAGAATAATAATTTGAGTTTCCAGATTGCAAAGGCTGAAAGAAGTACTGAAGCAACGTAATAGTGACAAAGAGATCGCCGAATTTCGGCAGCGTTACTTGGAGCGCAAACAAAATGTTGTTGTTACGATACCGGTTTGAATGGCGAATCCTTCATTCTGTAATTAAATACCTCTCAAGTATTCACGTTACTCCGCGTTCACAAATTCTTATTCTTTTATTCGTTCCTGTAATGGCCCTTTGATTTTAATCTCTGAAATCATCCACAGTCTCAACAAACTTGCACTGCGGCGGTGCCACGCTTGTCACGATAATTCTCCTCGTAAGGGACGGGCAAAAGCACGAAATTTGAAATGCGTACAGAGTGATTAGCCACGGAAAACTGTAAAATTTTCGTACGACCAACAATAATATCTGATTTTCATAAGCGCAGCGAATGTCGCTGTCCTTCTCGCTACTTTTTCTCTTGCTGTCATTACTTGAACTTCCCATCACCTTGTTGTAATTGCGGTTGTTGTTAAAGTGATTGTGAACACTGATATCTCAAGTTTTCACAACTCCGTAATCGAATCCTTTACATTTTCCGCTCACAGGCGTATGCTCAGTGGTAGAAGTACCTGTAAAATCCTGACCACTTTCCAATTCTTGAAGTGCTTTTCAATGCCGGAATAATCTAGTGACTGGAAAATGGTCACGGATAGAAGATGATGCAAGCATTGCTGACAATGAAAGAAAAGCAAGGATGACAACATTATGAATTTTTTGTCCATCGCCTTTTGAAAACCGAAATCGTAGTTGGAGCTGTCGTAAAATGATTTATCGAATTGCTATTGTGAGGACGATAAACAACAAATATTAGTGAATATGAATACACTGAGGACGACTGATCTGTTATTCAAGACGAATACAGTACCGAAATTATGTGTAATATCGGCTTTTAACAAATCCAAATTCCTGGATTATTTCGAAGACGATTAAATGGATTGGACTTCAAAAGTCGGGATCGTGGGATCCCATACAGAGTAATATGATGCATATTTATTTGTTTATCCATTCATATATAATAGATATAACTTGTATTGGGAAGTATCAGTGCAGAACCAATAAAATATTATATCAGCTTCGTGTTCTTCGTCAGCTTTTTTCCAATTATTCTATTTTGTTCTTGATTGGAAATGAAACTTGTTGATGAGGTAGGTGGAATGTTTTACTGTTGAGATATTCATCGGTATTCATGAAACAAGTCACATTTTAGAAATTCTGCAATGAGATTACATTGCTCAAGATGGAGATTAATCATGATTATCAACAATTCGGTGTTTCCATCAGTTTCATTTTTTCGTCATTATTTTATGAGTTTATCGGTTCTATCTCAGAAATTTAATTTAAAGTAGATTGGTTCGTCTGGAGCTTATGGTTACAGAATTATCAACTTTCATAAATTTTTTTGAATATTTATTGAGTGAAATGATTAGCCACGGACAAATTTGGAGTGGCATCCTAGATACTACAGTGGTAAGTGTCCGGGCCAGTCACGTGCGAGATCAGGGTTCGATTACCGGCCGGGGAGTGCTTTTAGCATTCATTATTATTTTTAGGGGGATGCAATTACTTGTCATTTTTGCAATGCAGACTTCCCAATCAAACAAATATTCACCAACTAAGATA